AGGGGGTTGAGGGGATGGGTTAGCCCGGTGATGGGTATTAAGGAGGGCACGTACTGTGTGGAGCACTGGGTGTTATACGAAAACAATGAATCATGGATCACTACATCAAAAACTAATGATGTATTTTATGGTGACTAATACAACATAATAAAATAAATAAAATTAAAAAAATAAACTAACATTGCATTCCTGATCGAGTAGGACTAACTGATTTGCTCTAAGTTTTTTCAGGATTTTGCTATTATGGTCATGAGGAATACTGATCTGTAATTTTCTTTTCTTACGAGATCCTTACCATATTTTGTTTTCAATGTAACACTTGTCTAATAAAACAAGTTGAGAAATGTTCCCTTCTCCAGTTTTCTGAAGACATATGTGTATGATTGATATTATTTCTTCATCTTTTTAATTTTATTGTTTTTGCAGAAATATTATTTCTTCTTTAAATGTTGAAAACAATTCATCAGTGAAACCATCTCAGCCTAGAGTTTTTTGGTTGAAGATTTTTTTCCCTTTTAAATTACAAATTAAATTAAATAGATAAGGGCTATTCAGATTTTCTATTTCTCCTTGAGTCACTTTCGGTAAGCTGTATTTTTTGGAGAATTTGTCCAGTTTATGTTGTTGAATTTATGTTATAAAGATGCCTGTAATAATCCCTTATTCTCCTTTTAATGTCTATAGGAACTATAGTGCCATCTCCCTTTTATATCTGATGTTAATTTGAGTTTTTTTCTCATTTTCTTGATCAGTCTTGCGAGGGGTTTATTCATTTTAAATATTAATTTTTTTTCTATTTACTGATGTCTGTCCTTGATTTTACTCTTCTTTCTGCTTACTCTGGGTTTATTTTCCTCATTTTTTTTTCTAGTTTATTAAGTCAGAAACTTAGACATTGATTTTACACTATTCATTTTGAGATACTTTATCATTTCCTCTGTGATTTCTTCTTTGTCTCATTGATTATTTAGAAGTATGTTGTTAAATTTCTAAATATTTGGGGATTTTATTTGTATCGATTTCTCATTTAGTTCCATTATCTCAGATGACATTTTCTGTAAGATTTTAGTATTTTGAAACCTTCAGACTTGGTTTTATCGCCCAGAGTATGGTCCTTGTGTACTTGAGAAGAATATATATTCTGCAGTTATTGGGTAGTAGTCTATAAATTGTGAGTGGATCAAGTTGGCTGACAGTGTTGTTGAAATCTACACACTTGGTTTTTATCTGCTTGTTCTAATACTTATTGAGAGGTGTTAAAATCTCCAGCTATGATTATTTGCCTATTTATCTCTTTAGTTCTAGAAGTTTTTGACTCATGTATTTTCTTCACTTAAAAAACTTTATTTTGAAATTTTTCATTCTTTTTAAAAATATGTAGTAGTAAAGTACAGTTGATATACAATATTGTATTTGTTTCAGGTGTACAACATAGTGATTTGACAATGATTCATGTAATTTGAGCCTCTGTTACTACGTATATACACATTTAGGATTATTTTATCTTCCCAGAAATTGGTCTCCTTTTACGTTTATCAAATGGCCCTCTGGTAAACATTTCTCATCTTGAAGTCTGCTCTGCCTCACATTAATATACCCACTCCAGCTTTCTTATGCTGCATGGTTACATGGTACGTGATTTTTTTTTTTTTTTTTTTTTTTTGGTATATATTTTTCTATCCTTTCACTTTCAATCTGTGTCTTTGTATTCAGATAACCCTCTTGTAGATAGCATACTGTTGGGTCTCATTTCTTATTTGATCTGGTAGTTTCTGCTTTTAAAAGAAATGCTCAGTCCATTTAAAATAATGTAATTATTGATATGACTGACTTTAAGTATAGCATTTTGCTTTTTAAAAAAATTTAATTTGATTTTGTGTTTTTGGTTCAGTTCCACAGCATAATGATTCGATATCTGTATACACTGTGAAATGAAAACCACATGTCTAGTTAACATCTATCACCTTACAAAATTATAAACTTTCTTTTCTTGTGATGAGAACTTTTAAGACTTACTCTCTTAGCAAGTTTCAAATATGCAATTCAGTATTATTTAGTCACCATGCTGTATATTTCCATGACTTACGAATTTTATAACTGGAAGTTTTTATCTTTTCACCCCTTTCTTCCATTTCTCCCATACCCCACCTCCCACCTCTTGCAACCATCAACGTATTCTCTGTATCTATGAGATTGGTTTTTTGTTTTTAGATTTTTTATATCCCACATATAAGTGAGATCATACAGTATTTTTCTTTCTCTGCTTAACTTACTGTTTCTTTTTTTAGCAGCCTAACACAACACCCATTTTATTTTCTTATACTGCTTTTTTTTTAAATTTTAATTAAAATGTTTTTTAAATTTGAGTATAGTTGACACGCAATGTTACATTAGTTTCAGGTTTATGACACAGTTCAACTTCTCTATACATTACGTATGCTCACCACCAGTGTAGCTACCGTCTGTCACCGTATAACGCTTTCATATCACTGACTATAGTCTCTAAGCTGTGCCTTTTATTCCCACTTGTTCCATTTAAAAAAAATATATTGTTTTTCTTTCCTGCCTTATTGGTTGATAAAATAATTTTTTAGTATTTCATTTATTTTTTAAATTGTGTTTTCAGCTATTGCTCATAATGGGAATTTTGTTTTAAAGTAAGAACGTGGGAATCAGGTGGAATAATTAAATTCACTTAGAATAATATTTACCAGTAAGGATATCTAAAGCTGCTTATGGAGACCTACATGAGCAGCAGATGTATCTAGAAGCAAAACTGAAACACATGAGTCATGGCTGACAATCTAGAGCTGAATCTGCAAGCATTTGGATATTCGCCTTGAATGAGTCGTAAGATGTAAATCCTCGTATCACTGTCCTTCCTTCAAGGCACTCAGTATGTGAGCAGTTTCAATGTTCGCTTACTTGTTCAAACTTTATTTCCTGAAATGCCTCCTGTGTTCAAGGTGGGGTAACCAATACGAAGGATAAAAGATGAATGAGAAAACGTTCCGAACTTCAGTAGCATACAATTTAGTCAAAAGGAGAGGACAGGTACAGAAATAACTAATTCTTATAAAGCACAGAGTATAGTATCTGTAGTATCTGACATATAGTTCAATAAATGTTAGTAATAGAATTTTAAATCTTATTATGCATTTAATAATGTGTTAAATACCCTAAATTAAAAATTGTAAAAAAAAAAACCTAATATCAATTTGGAAAGATACTGTATCTTACTAGAGGGTGGCAGGGGGATCAGCAGGCCTTTTATGAATGAGGTGGCATTTAAGCTGGTTATTGAAAGATGGGTAGAATTCTGATAGAGATGTAAGCAGAAGGCATAACAAGAAATGGAACAGTGAGCAAATGTACGGAGGCAGGAACATGTAAGTGAGTGTTTAAGAACTAGTGAGTATTTTACATGTAAACACAGGGTTCATACAGGTAAAAGTATATAGGGAGGCTGGAAAGTGGGTTGGACCCATGCCATCAAGTACCTTATATGCTAGACTAAGAAGCTTGAAGTTAATTCAGTATCAATAGGGAGTCAGGTTTCTGAACAGGGAAATTAAGTGATGAAAGTGATACTTGATGAAGCTTTATTTGAAAGCAGTACATAAAGTCCACAAGACTGCACAGGTTGGGGCAGAGTTTCCCTACTAGGTATGTCAAGAATGGGTTAGAGGTGTGCTCAAAAATGAAGCTCTTTAGCCCTCAGGGCTCTGGGGGCTTGGCACAGCTGTAACCTCAAGGCCAGTTATATCTAGCTATAAGGAGTTGCGATTTTTTAGCTCAGTATGCTATACAAGTTTTTATAATTTTCTAAGTGTGCTATGATATAAAAGAAGCATTAAACCAAAAACCCAGAGAAGACCAGGAAGGGTACTAATATAGACATGATGCCATGAGCAACTGAATGGTCTTTGGGGTAACAATGGCAGGAATGAATTTGAGACTGATGGATGTGAGAAAACATCACAAAGGCAGAATTAGCAGGATGTAGACTGATCGTACAGAAAATATGCTTTAAGATATCTGTGGAGAAATTCCAAGGTTTAAAAAAGTCCAGGGTACGGAGAAGCTAATCGGTAGCAGAGGTACACAGAGGTCATCAGAATTGAGAAGAGAAACTGATATCCAAGTAACTAGTATGGAGGTTGAAATAACTGAAGACGGTGGCCGAGAGAAAGGAAATTATGGTCACTTTTTCTTACTGAGTACCTCGAAAACCTTCAAGAAAGATATAAAAGTCTCTCAGGAATAAACACAATTGCTCAGGAACCTCTTGCTTACTCAAGTCCTTTTCTCTGGCTTCCAGCACTGACAAAACACTGTTAAGGGGATGGGGTAGACATGGGTGGAGGAGGAGATGCTCCCGCGTAGGCCACAGCTGACACTAGAATTGCAGAGGAAAGAGGGAGGAAGGGTGTGAGCACGAGAGGGAGATGGATTCCATTTTATTTTTTCCCCCATTTCCTAAAAATATCTTAAATACCTTTTAAATAGTTTTTAGTGGAAAGCTGAGGTTTAAGACATACAGAGTTGTGCAGCCATGGATACCATTTTATTTTACCTGACTGTGGAGTAAAAAAAAAAAAAAAAACCACACACACACACACACACACACACACAAAACCCCAAACATAATGATGAGGAGGTTTCTAACCATACAAATGGAGTTGGAGACATGGTTTTACTGATTTTTTGAATTCTACAGAAAAGACTAGAAGCTCTACTACCTTTAGTACAAGAAAAATGTATTCTATTTGGAAGTGAGAACAAGAATTTTGAGAGAGAAAGAAGGAAAGAAGTAGCAGTTCCTGTAGGAATTTTCATTTTTCTCAAGTAAAATCTTTTCTGTTAACCGTATCCTGCGGGACATCAGCTATGGCACGTTTGGTTTTGGCAATGTGATAAAAATCATTTCTATGGCACACTCTAGGTGAACTTGGGCTCCAAAACTTCCACCTTTTGCCTTCTGTGCACCCCATCTGTACCTTTGTGGAGATTCTCCAGGGGCTCCAGGACTCCCCTCCGGAAGGAGGCCATGGGGTCTTGAACACAGGACCGAAGGCTCAGCATGCTCTGTAAGTGAGGCTCCCGAAGAAGCTGCTCCCGATAGGCCGTCAGCTGAGGTGAGCGGCAGAGCAGGGCAGCAACATTGTGGACAAATTCTGGGACCAGGCAGGTGTAGGCATTATCTGCTTGGCAATAGTGATAGGCAACCACCTACAACAGAAAGATGAGAATGCGAACAGGTTTACCAGGAGCAAGAGCAATAGCCATGGTTACTGTATGATCATTCTCTAACACATTGTCTTCCGTCTCCCCATTCCTCAACTTCTTCAAGTAAAAACAAAAGCTGCTATCTCAGAAACTGCCTGCTTTATCTAAGATCAGAAATTTGATACAATATTTCTATCGTATACACATATCATAATTCACAATTAAAATTTATAAATGCAAATTGAGTTTTGGATTATAAGATTCCTTTGTAGAATTTGGGTTTTAGATTATAAGAAATAGGAAACAAGCCTGAGAATAAAGATTTATATTTATCTCTCTAATATTTATTCAGCATGGAATAGTACAGGAAAAAGTCCAATCTTGTAATAAAGCATTAGGAATAAAATGATACCAGAAAGACCTTGTTAATCTCAATAAACACATATACTTATTAACTCCTTACTTTTAAAAATTAATGTTGTTGTAAATAGCTTTATAAAAAATAATTCAGATTTAACAATTATCATTAGTATTTTCTAGCACCCAGACACAATCAGAATTAGATGACAGGAAAAAGGAAATGACTGAGATTTTTGTTAGCTGCAGGTCTTAAATTCAAAGAACTTGGAAAATGTGTGAGTCTTAATATCATCCATCCATCTGGGCTGTCTGGGGGGAACCTGGTTTTAACCTCTGGGTTTTTTGTTTGTTTGTTTGAATTTGCACAGAGCTCACTCCATACCTTCTGGTTGTTCTCTTTGCCTCAAGGGTAAGTGCAGAGGGTGATTTTAATCTACAGCACTCTGCTGGCTCAGTACTACTCACGAAAGTGAAGTGACTGAGGAGATAACATGAAATTGGCAGGGGAGATTCAGCTTGAATGTATGGAAAGTACTTGGCATGGTGCTCAGCACAAAAAGGTGCACAGTGATGTCAGCTGATGCTGCCATCATCATCATCATCATCATCACCTCCCCCTTCTCCTCCTCTTCTTCTCCATCATTATCATCATCGAAGTTCTGTATTCTCTATTTTGACTACTGACTTTGTGCCTTTAGGCAGGGGAAAATTACGCTAGGGGCATTCATAGATGTACTACTGGGACTTCAGCTCTTCTATCATCTCTCAGAGAACAGTCATCCACTAAAGTGTTCTATTTTGAAAAGACTCCTAATCTACAGGTATGGTCATTCTTGCTCTTTTACAAATACTAGAAATGTCACTTTTTTTTAAAAAACTTTTTTTTTTAAACCTGAAATCCTTCTCATTAAGCACACAGAGAAAAATTTAATACTGAAAATGTTACTATCCACAGAAAGCTGAGGACAGGAATTGCTTGTGAGTGAAGCAATGATATGTGAGCACAATATGGAATTGGAAATGAGAAGTTATATTTAAAAAATCTCCACTCTTTTCTTTATAGATAGATTGGTCATTACTTTATTACCTATATTGAGCACAATGTAAGGAACCAAAGAGAAAACCTGGCAGCAACTGATCTGTCCTCCCAATGAGCAGTGAATGTCAGTGGTTATATCCACATGGATACAAATATCCACTTCATAAAAAGCAAACAGCAAACCTCTGAATCACTATGAACTTTCATCACATTTTACCTTGACTGCTTCCACATGTCAAAGTGAAGCACAGCTGAGCAAATCAGCTGTAACTTACCCTTTGCATAAAGTAATGGGATAGAAGTTTGAAAATAAAAATTCAGGAATTTAGGAAGAGGTTTTTCTTACTGATTTTATTAAAAATTATCTGTGCTAGGGGAGGGGGGTGGGGGGAAAAATCATCCGTGCTCTTGGCTGAATGAGGTTTTATCTAACAAAGGACATTGCTAGTTACCCCTTCTGTGTCTACCTTTCTTTCTTTTAGTTTAAAATATTTCTTCAGCATTCCAAATATAAAGTCTTGATTGCTTTGCAGAATTCAGGTAGAAAGACCATTCAACATTTCCACGAAATTTGCACTGTGGCTAAAAATAGGTTATTTACTAGACATTTCAAAGCAGTTATGTAGCATATGTACATAGAACATGCACACATAGTAACTGACAAACACAGGTGCATTTGTCAAACCTATTTGGTACTTCCTCTAAATTGTCTATTGACATCATCTACAACTTTTCCTACGTATACAAATAGGAAACAAGTCTGCTAATGTAGTTTTTTTTCCCTTCAGTCTCTCATTGTACCAGTGTTCAGTAGTATTAGATTTTTCCCTGCAACCTTGAGAAAGTTATCATGGCCACCTATATTCAGTCACTGTCATTCCAACTTCTTGGAAATGATTCAGAATTTAGTCTACCCCCAAAATCAGCAGGTAAAACCTTTCTCCTTGAATTCTTGTCTACCCCTAAAATCAGCAGGTAGAACCTTTCTCCTTGAATTCTTGTCTCTCATGATGATTTGTTGAAATTTCATTTTCAACTATGCATAATTTCTCTCCATTTCAAGTTTGTCTTACGTTAAATCCTTAGACTTTTTATTAAAATAATTCTAGCCAAAATATGTCTGATATGACCAGAATTATATTAATTCTTTGGGAAAGACAGCAAGTAAATTTTATTTATTATTTTTTAGAAAGGGAGAGGAGGGGAAGGACAGAGGGAGAGGGAGAATCTTAAACAGGTTCCACACTCAGCACAGAGCCTGATGTGGGGCTTGATCCCCTGACCATGAGATCAGGACCTGAGCCGAAATCAAGAGTAGGACACTTAACTGACTGAGCCACCCAGATGCCCTGATAGAAAGTAAATTTTAAATTACTCCTATGAGGGAAGGAAAAAAAGCAGGTGTGCAGGCTATATAGACAAAAGAAAAGACTGGAGGTCAGTATAGCTTTGGGTATAAGAAACTTTGATTTGGGGCCCTTGGCTGGCTCAGTCTGTGGAATATGCCACTCGAGCTTGGGGTTGTGGGTTTAAGCCCCACCTTGGGTGTAGAGATTACTTAAAAAAAAAAAAAAATCTTAAAAAAAATAAAATAAAAATAAAAAACTTTGATTTAGTGCTGTATAGAAGAAATCGTAAGATGAAGTATAATCCTCATCAAAGGGCGAAATGATTGAGTGGCAGCAAATCTGTCAGGCTCGTGTTAACAATCCCAGGCCTTCACTCTGAAAAACAAACTGAGGGTTCTAGAGGGGAGAGGGGTGGGGGGATGGGTTAGCCTGGTGATGGGTATTAAAGAGGGCACGTTCTGCGTGGAGCACTGGGTGTTATGCACAAACAATGAATCATGGAACACTACATCAAAAACTAATGATGTAATGTATGGTGACTGACATAACAATAAAAAAATTTAAAGGGAAAAAAAATTAAAAAAAAAAAAAATCCCAGGCCTTCGCTCTCCAAAGACTGTTTTCTACTTCAAATGAATAATCTGTGACAGGATTAAGCTAATCTCACATAAAGAAGAGGACAGCTCTATGTGGAATACATCTGGAAATAAAAACTTGATTTACATAATGACTGGCATTTGTACCATTTAAATTCTAATGTTGCAAACACCCTCCCTTCAGGTCTGCTCTCATATTTTTATTCCATGTCTCCTTTTCATCACTCCTTGAATTCCTTCATCCCCACCTGACTAACTTCTTGCTCAGCACATTCCTTCTAACACTTTAGTGTGGCTTCTAATATTTCCAGGGACCTGGAGGTTTAGTATGAATAACAACCTCTTCTTGCCTCTCCCTGTCCCTCAACTCTGACTCTAATCCTTACCCTGGGCCTGGAAGCTAAGAATAGCTTCCAGACTTGGGTTCTGCCTCAGTAATTTTCCAGCTTGTAGATCTACTTTTTTTTTTGTTTTGTTTTTTGGCAGTAGGACTTTTATTTATTCTTTAACTTTTTATTTTGAACTAATTTTAGACTTACAGAAATGTCGCAAAAGTAGTACACAGAATTTCTGTTTCTGTATATCCCTCACCCAGCTTCTCTTTTTATTAATATCTTACATAACCATAGCATAATTATCAAAACTAGGAAATAACACTGGCACAATATATTATTAACTAAAGGCATTATTCAAATTTCACCAGTTTTCCACTAATGTCCTTTTTCTGTTCCACGATTCTATCCAGGTCCCTGTATTGCATTTAGTTGTTATTTCTCCTCATACTCCTGTAGTCTGTAGGAGCTCCTCAGTCTTTGTTTTTCATGACCTTGACACTTCTGAAGAGTACTGATCAGTTATTCTGGTGAATGTCAGTTTGAGTTTATCTGATGTTTTCCTCATAATCCAACTGAGATTTCTGGGCAAGAATACCACAAAAACAATGTGGTGTCCTTCTCAGTGGATCATATCATGGGGCCCACAGTGCTGATGTGTCTTGTTACTGACGATGCTGACCTTGATCACTTCGGTTAAAGTAAAGGTTTCTGCCAGATTTCTCTACTATAAAGTTACTCTCTTTCCCTTGGTAGTTAATAAACATCTTGGAGGAGACACTGAGACAATGCAAATCCTGTTTCTCCTCAAACTTTTGCCCACTGACTTTAGTATCCATCAGTGGATCTTGTCTGCAACAATTAATCACATAGTGTTTGCCTGAGAGTGATGTTCTATTTCTTCCCTCTTTCCTTCTACATTTACTATTAGAATCCTACTGGAAGAAAGAGCTGTCTCTTTTCCCCCATTTATTTACTTGAGTGATTTAATAAATATGGACTTATTCTATTCCATTGGTTATATCCAATACTATATTTTGTTGCTCACTTTGTTCCAGCTTCGGTCATTAGGACTTCCTTCAGGTTGGTATCTGTGTTCTTTCAAGAAGCCCCCCATCTTTTTAAAAGCACTTTCTTGCTTTCTGGTACCACAAGACACCCCAGGCTCCTCTTATATTTACCCTGCCCAGACCTGGCATTATCTAACTTCTTCAGAGCCCTGGTTTCTTTTATTGGAGAATGGTTTTTATAAAACAAGATCTGAATAGTAGGCATGGTTATTGCTATTGAAGTGTCTTTGATTTGGGGCCCTCTCAGTGGAGAGAGC